TTTTGGAGTATCGGATATTTAATTTTGAAGTATCGGATACTCGAAGTCACATATTACTTCTAATGCTCTGTTATTTCTTTGATAAGAGGAATATAGTGATAGTTAAAGTAATAGAATTTGTCAAATTGATGTATTCTTATCACGGTTATCAGAATCCCGATCTGGATTCTATGATCCTATGATCTTACGATCCATTTAAATACAATCGATCCGGATTGTGTAAAACATTCCTTATAGGTAGGATCTTTCGATCCTAGTAATGAGATCTTATAGGATCATGGAATCCCGATCCAATCCGATCCAATTTACAAGCCTTATTTTGTATTGTATGACATTTTATTGTAAATTTTATGTTTGTTGTCTAAATCCAATTTATGCGGTCAAAATAAATAATGAAAATTAAGTAATATTGAATCAAATAGACTAAGAAAAACAAAGTAGGAAACAAACATTTAAATATTGCAGTAATTTAAGAAAATTAACTAATCGGAAAAATAAACTTAGCTGTAGCGGAGTCTAAGAAGGGTAAGATGATTGCAACTTTTTTCCAATTTTTGGAGAGATTATTTTTGTGACTCGAATCAGCTCCACCAGGGATGCTAACGACAAACTTTATCATTCGGTTAAGTTGTTCTTTTGAGTTCTTCTATTTTCATATCCAACTTTGTTAAAATATTTTTTCTTCACTTTTTATGCATTATTGTAGATTGCAAAGTATTTAGTTATAGAATTTTTCTTCACCTTCTTTTTTGATGAAATACAAAATTTTTACCATCGAGTTTTCTATTGTATAATATTACTAGTGTATGCCCGTGCCTGAAGGCACGATACAATTAATGATGAGATTAAAATATAAATAAAAATTAGAGAGGAATGTATTCAAATTTATTGTTTTTGTTTTTTTTTCTTTTCTTTTTAAAGAGTAGGTAATGAATTCACAGGAAGAAGAAAAATTCCTAAATGAAGACATGAAACTCAAATGAAACACCAATTTATTAGTAACCCAAATAAATTTCAGGAACTCCCAAAATTAGAAACCTCCATGACTCCCAAATTGATGCAAACCAATCATATGGACCAATCACAGGTGAGTGAGAGTTATAAAGTTGTATTTTTTTAAGAATGTGTAGCATTTTTTATATTTTTAATAAAAAAAAATCTTTCCAAGATAAATTGCACTTCCCCCAAATTGCAATCTCTCAATTTTCTCACCCACTCTCCTCTTCTCTATTACCTCAGTCTCTCTCCCCCAAAGACTGTAAAACATTAATCTTCTCAACTGTCTCTCTCTCTCTCACCCTCACCGACTGATATTCCCCCGTTCCTCTCTCTTCTCAAACGAAGACTCTCTGTTTCCTTAAGTTATAGATGATAATATTAAATTTTTTGAAAAAACAATTGTAAACTAAAAATAGATTGAACAATTTAATTCCCAATAGAACCCAAGCATCATATTAAAGAATATTAATGAGTTTTGTGCACTAAAATGCTATGAACAACTGATAAATTTTTTTAAAAAAAATCAAATAAAACTATCCATTTGGTTTGCTCAGATGAACACACCATGAAATTAGATCAAGGGATTGGAACAATAAAGTAAGGACCACAACAACATCCATCCAGCAATGTAGCTGAAGAGAGTGAATATCCTCTATTCAAAAATAATAATAATAATACGACTATGTAAAAATAAAAAATAAAATAAAAAAATTAAAAAAACTGAGAGTACATTCGCAGAATCCACCCCTCCTTTAGTCCTACGGGTCTGTGAGCTTTGGATCTGATGAATAAATGGAGAAGATGATAACCATGAAATTTTTAGGGTGTTCTCTACACTGTTTCCACCATTGTTGTAGGTCAAGAAATTTATCAAAAAAAGGCAAAATAGAACTTGAAAGATAAAATACATATTCTGACACACATAAATAAACACAAACCTAGAGATTACAAACTTTCTGCCAAGTTTTTGAATTAATTTTTATGAACAAAAACACAAATGCAACATAAATGACAAAATTGGAGTTGATATGCACAAACAAAACCCGGTAATTTTATCACACTTCAAACAACTCAAACCCAGATTAATAAAGCTTAACACATAAATTGCAAGACCAATTCCACCAACAGAAATGATGATAAGACCTCAATTCCACCAAAAAACTTGAAGATGTATCACTCTTGGGCCAAACAAAAATTTGGCTATCGTTAGAATTAGAATATAATATGTGCCTTAAGATATATCACACCTAGGCCAAACCAAAAAAAAATTGATATATTGATATATTTTAAAAACACGATGTAAATAATGATATATTTTTACAATAAAATTATGCTATTGATATATTTTTACTTTTGAGGGAATAAATTTAGGCACGGGCATATGATCTAAATATCATTATTAAATTGAAATGTAATTGAAAATAAAATTATTAAATTAATGATATTCCCTCAAAAATAATGTTTAGATCTATGTTCCAAAATTAATGATATTCTTTGTAGTAATTTTATTTGATGTAAACGTAGGCTATACAAGCACTACAATTGTCATTTTACGGATATTTCGTCTGCGGGCTAGACACCCATGTATAATTTCTGGACTTTCACCCAGGACACTCCGGCCAACTTAATTATAGTGGAGTTGAACCCCTTTCTCATCCCAAATAAATATCCGTACATATGCAATGTATTAAAATAATAATCAAACATGAAGCACATCTCCTTTCCACTTCCAAACAAACTTACATAGACAATGTATACAATCATAATCATATTCAATGATAACCATCAAAGGGTTGTTTCAATTCGCCTAATCCACATGCGATTCCTACAACAATCCAAAGTTATCCTCCACCGATAGTCCAATACAATTATCTCTAAACAGATATTCAATCTCAACAGATAATTTATTCAAAACTTTCAAAAGATCAAGTTAATACATAACCAATTCCACCATTAATATCAATACTCACCCAATTTCACATTTCCAATACCAATTCCAATTTTTGTACAAAATAATAGTTAGACCCAATTAGGGAAATTTCCCCCTCTTTCCCAAATATAAACCAAGCGCCAAAATTATCAAATTAGACATAACACATCATCATTTTCAAACCCCACAAACATCAATTTCATCTACACCCAAAACCCCTCTTTGTATTATATACCCCAAATCACACCATTGTTACACAAAAAACAAATAACTAAGCTAAATATCATATAAAAGTGTAGAAAAATCCCTACCTCAAAGGAAGAAGATGAACCACACAAGAGACAAACTCCAAGAGTGCCGAAACCCACTTTTTTTGGGATTAAAATGTAGATCTTGACAAGCTCTACCTTTTTGTTAAAGGCACAAGAGTGAAAAGATCAATGGATCTAGATGACATTTAAGAGAGAAGATGAATTCTAGAAAGAGGGGCTTAAGAACAAACTTTTTGGTGAGTTTTAGAGAGAGAGAGAGAGAAGAAAAAATGATTCAAAATGTCATATTCTCGGACTGAAATACACACAGTCCGTTCGAGCGTGAGAAACCTCGCTCGAGCATCAGACACAGACTCCCGCTCGAGTGTGAAACTGGACGCTCGAGCGTCGAATGGACTCACTCAGTATCTACAGACCTGCAAGAAAAAGCTGAGAGTTGTAGAATCCTGCTCGAGCGTGGGAATGGACGCTTGAGCGAAGGAGCAAAATTTTTGAAGCCCACTCGAGCGTGAGAATGCCCGCTCGAGCGGGGAGACCAAAATCTAAGCAACACAGGTTTTGAAAATGAAGCAACCAACCTGTTCCAAATGTACCATTACAACCCGATAACCAAAATAGAGGGGAAAACAAGATATGAATAACCTTTCTAACCCATACAACCGGAGTCTTGAATACCACCAAAGACGGGTATAAACCAGAATCGCTATAGTAAAAAAAATAAAAAAACATATCGATTTATTTCCTATCTTGATCTTGTTAAATCTTGTCACCTGAAAGGGGTAATAGCTATAAGCACATGGCAGAGTGAGAAATATTATACTATGAGTATAGGGGCACAAAAATAACCATGGATAGTTATTTAAGCTAAAACATTAACATAACTTAATTTAAATAAACAAATTATTTAAGTGGCAGAAACTGACAAACAAAAATTATGCAAATAACCACAACCACATTACAGAACAGAACAAAGGTCACTGGAGTAACAAACAAAATAGGGGCCAATGGATCCATGACAACAGAGGACCACAAAGTGGCCAAACAGAAGCCAATGGTTTATTTAAGTCCCCCAAGGCGTGGAACTCCCGTGGTGGTACTTACAGAAAATAATTGTTTATTAACTCATCGTCAAATAATTTCTAAAATTTAAACAAATATATCTATGGGTTTCAATTTAAGCAAATAGAGTTCAGAAAATAATCAACGTAATTAAATAGTAATATAATTTATAAAACACAATTTGCATAAAATAAATTATGATAGCTCAAAACATACGTAAAATATGTTATAATAACTCAAGGTATAATATAACTCACTTTTAAATTACTCCTAAATTAACCTTGATTCACTCCCCGTTTCTGAGGCTCCTCTACAACCTGAATCCCTTATATTTGCGTTTCTTGCTCGAATGCCCCCTACTACAGCACCAACCCTCCCTATTTATACACAACTTGTGAGGCCCAAGCAACAGAAGCATACACGTAGGTAATTTCCCCCGCCACCTGTCCTTGACCCTTAGTTTTTGCTTCAAGAATTGTCCAAGAGTCACTTTAACCCTTGGCTCACAGAAAGCTCACCTGGCCAAAAATCTTACTTGGCTTTTTATTTATTTTATTTTTTTTAATTCTAAAGGTTATTACCTTCTTCAGAAATTCACAATGATCCCCTAAAATTACGGTATTTTACAAACCCATGATAGCACGTAGAGATGATCCAAATGTACATATATACGTGTGTGTGTGTGTGCGCGTGTGTAGTAACTTGATCTGGGTTACAATTCCCCAATCAAAGTTAAAAACAGTGAGGAAATCAAGAGGCAGAGCAGTTTCTCCCTGTCCTCCTGCTACCTTTTGAGCACTTGACAAAGAACTCAGAATATAAATAAAAAGGAAGCAGAAAGAAAGCTACACCTCTGTTGAGGTGATGGAGATGATACATTCATCACGATCAGCCTTATCATCAACCTCAATACGAGCACCACTGGCCTGTCTCACACTTTTGATTGAACCCCCTCCCTTGCCAATAACGCGGCCAATCATGTCAGAGGGGCACAGCACTCTCACAATTAACTCCTCTGAAATTGCAAACGATGCTCTCTTCTTTTGTAGTTTTTATTGACATTTATTCATTGGTAATGGCAAAATTTACATCACAGTAAACAATAAAAAAATCCAGGCTACCAAAAAACCAAAAGAAAAAAAACAAAACAACACAACACAAAAAAATTGGTTACAACACATTAACCAAAACAAGAATTCTTAAGAGAGACAGAAAGAAAACTAAGAGAAGACAACAGTTTCAGACAAACAAGGTTACAACACATTAAAAAATTTAAAAAAATAAAAAAATAAAAAAAAAGTTTATCGGATACAAATCCAAAGAGCGAAGAGTCTTTCAATAGACAAAAAATACAAATTATAAGAACTTATTATAAACCTAATTCGCGAACGCTGATATACTGTTGGAAAACCTAGGAAACGATCGTACCTGCAGATGAGAGAATCCAATTGAACAAAAACCCTAGGCAAAGGGAACACAAAGATGCAAAACTAGAGAGTGAGACTGATGAGATGAGAGAGTGAGGGAGACAGATCAGATCAGAGAGATATCTGATATATATATATATATATAAAACAAAACAAAAAAAACAACGATCGGGGCGAGAGAGAGAGAGAGGCAGATTGAGAGAGAGAGTTTACCTGTGAGTAGATCGGCGGTGCGATGATCGGTGCGATGAGATGAACAATGAGAAAGTCAGAGAGTGATCGATGCAGATATGAAGAACAACGAAACAAGAGAGAGAGAGAGAGAGAGAGAGAGAGAGAGAGAGATATTTGGTAGAAATTAGGGATTTTGGTTCTAAGAGATTGGGGATTTTGGGGGGCGCGGGAATGGAAAAAAATGGGGGAACCGAGCGGGCGGGATTGGGAAAATAATAATAATAATAATAATAATAATTTTCATCATAAATGAATATTTAAATAATAAAAAAATAAATAATAATTTTCATTTTCATCATAAATGAATATTTAATGAATGAAAAATTATTATTATTATTATTTATTTGGTAGAAGTAAGGATAATATTTTAATGAAAAATATTTTCTATTAAGAGTGATGAGTGAGAGAGAGAGACGGAGAGAGAGAGAGAGAAACAAACAGACAAAGAGAAAAAGAGATAGAGAGAGACAGACAGAAAAAGAGAGAGAAACAAGAGATGAGCGAGAGATAAAAATTATTATTATTTGTTTCATATTTATTTTAATGAATAAATTTTTTTTTTATTTGGTAGAAATAGGGATAATATTTTCCATTAAAATAAAGTTAATTTTTTGTGGTCAATGTGGCATTTGCAGTGGTAGTAGTGGTAATAATAGAATGGCATTTGTAGTAGTGGTGAATATGGTAGAGAAGTTGGGTGGTGAGAGAGAGATGAGTGAGAGACAGATAGAGAAGAGAGATAGACAGACAGACAGACAGACAGAGACAAAGTGATGAGCGAGAGAGAGACAAAGACTGACAGATAGAGAAGAATGATGAGTGAGAGAGAGAAGAGAGGTAATATTTTGTGGTAGAGAAGAGGAACCAACAGTAGTGGTGAAGGTGGTGGATAAGAGATGATGATGGTGGTTGTGGTGGTGGTGATGGCGAAGGAGATTAGTGGTGAAGTTATGGTAGTAGTAGAGTAGATGGAGTAGCAGGAGTGAAAGAGAGGTAATGGTAGTAGTAGTTGTGGCAATAGTGGTAGTGGTGGTAGTGGAGTGGTGGCGATGGTAGTAGTAATGGTAGTCGTAGAGGTGAAATGACGACCGTGGTAGTAGTGGTGGTAGTGAAATGGCGTTTGCAGTAGTGGTAAATGTGGTAGAGGAGATGAGTGGTGAGAGAGAGCGATGAGTGAGAGGCACAGAGAGAGAAAGAAAGAAAGAAAAGAGATGAGAGAAGAGAAGAGATAGATGAATGAGAGACACAGAGAGAGAGAGAGAGACAAATAGACAGTCAGAGAGAGAAGAGTGATGAATGGGAGAGAGAAAGAAAATAGAGAAAAAAAGATGAAAAAATGGGTGAAAAGATATAGACAAAGAGAGGGACAGAGAGAGAAAAAAAAAGAGCGAAAAGAGATAAACGAGAGAGAGACAGAAAGAGATGAGTGAGAAAGCGAGAGAGAGAAAAAAAAGAGAGAGAGAAGAGAGACAGAGAGAGAAGATAGATGAAAGAGATAGAGAGAAGAGAGATAGATGAGAGACAGAGAAAAAGAGAGAGAGACAGACAGACAGACAGATAGAGAAGAGTGATGAGTGAAAGAAAGAAAGAGAAGAGAGACAGAGACACAGAGAGAAAGAGAGAGACGGATAGACATAGAAAAGTGATGAGTGAGAGAGAGACAGAGAAGAGAGACAGAGACACATAGAGAAAGGGAGAGACAAACAGACAGAGAAGAGTGATGAGTAAGAAAGGGAAAGAGAAGAGAGACAGAGACAGAGAGATAGGAAGATGAAAAAATGGGTGAAAAGAGAAATGTTCAAAAGAGTAAAACGACATCGTTTATAGTGGATCGATAAATCGAGAAGGAGCTCGATAAATAGAGAAGATTGGAGTAAGAGAGTAAGCAGTGTGAACATAGTGAGGGAGAAATAGACAAGTAGAGAGAGAGAGAGAGAAGAGTGATGAATGAGAGAGAGACAGGGGGAGAGAGATAGACAGAAAAAGAGATAGAGAGAGAAAGAGATAGAGATAGAGGGAAAGATAGAAAAAGAGAGAGAAACAAGAGATGAGCGAGAGATAGACAAAAAGATAGAGAAATAGAGCGAAAAGAGATGAGCGAGAGAGAGAGAGAAGAGAAATGGGCGAGAGAGATAGAGAGAGATAGAAAGATAAGAGAGAGAGTAAAGAAATAAGAGAGATAGAGAGAAGAGAGATGAGCGAGAGAGACAGAGAGAGAAAACAGATGAGAGAGATAGAGAGAAGAGAGATAGGCGAAAGACACAGAGAGAAAATGAGAAAGAGAAACAGACAGACAGAGAAAGAAGAGTGGTGAGTGAAAGAGATAAAGAGAAGAGAGAGAGATAGAGACAGAGAGATATGAAGATGAAAAAATGAATGAAAAGAGAAATGTTATATCAAAAGAGTAAGAAGACATTGTTTTTTTAAATTTTTTTTGCGACAGAAAAAAGTACTAGAATTTATTCAAACCATTTTGTGACTGTATATATATGAAGCTGTCTCAAAACTACAATCACTATACTAGGTTAGAGTTTTCCAAAAACTCTTTTGAGAAAATTATACTTTCTTGTTTTCCGTGAATTGTTTTTATTGAATTTTTTTAATATTTTAAGTATTTTTTTTAACTTTTAGACACACCTAACATAAATATACCTAAAAATTAAAAAAATTATAAAAAAAATCTTTTAAAAATTCACTAAATACCAAAAGTACAATAATTCAATACATTTTTTTTTTGTATTTTTATGTATTTATTAATTTTTAAAAATATTTTTTCATAATGTTTTTTTTTTAGATACATCTAAGTAAGGTGCATCTAAAAAAATATTTAAAATTTTCAAAATATTCACTAAAAATTTAAAAAAAAACACGAAAGTCACTTTTTGCGACGGCAGAAAATGCCGTCTCAAAAAAGCAGAGTATTTGCGACGGCACCATTTGCCGTCTCAAAAAAGCAGAGTATTTGCGACGGCAAAAAATATCGTCGCAAATGCTCTCATTTTTTGAGACGGCAAATTGTGCCGTCGCAAATGCTCTGTTTTTTGAGATGGCAAATGGTGCCGTCGCAAATACTCTGGCTTTTTGAGACGACATTTTTTGCCGTCGCAAAAAGTGACTTTTTGAAACGGCAAGTGTGCCGTCGCAAATAGTTTCGTCTCATATACCCACTTTTCTTGTAGTGATACATATTTATTTGTACATATTAAACACATGAGAAATATAAGATTTGTAACTCTCATCTTTTGATGATAGAGTTGATGACCATATTAGTGGCCATGGCTTTTCAACCTTTGTAACTCTAGTCCTAATGGCTAGAGTTGATGGCCTTAGTTAATGACATTTGATAGTCCTATTGATATATGGCCTTTATGGCTAAGGATTCTCGTACTTGTATAAATAGAGGCATTTCCCCTCTAACTTGGTAGGATAATTTTGGAGATGTTTTTAATGGAAAATGGAGATGGTATTTTGAGATAAAAAGTTGGAGATGTTTTTTTTTCACCAAAGAAAATTTTTCTTATCTTTTTTTGCTAGCCCCTTCTTCGATTCTTGTTAGAAAGAGTGCAACCATTGTCAAGTTTACCAAAACTATTCAAAATGTGCTTTTGCATTAACTGGTTTTGACAGTCGTATCCTGGAAGACAAACGCCGGCGTACCTCCAGCATCCATCGAGAGGCGGTGAATCTGTTTTAAGGAATCTGTCTAGTGCAGGCTTCGATTTGCTATTTTTCTTATCATTTGTTCTTATTTTTTCAAAAATTTAGTTTACAAAGATGAGTTCTAATCTTTAGTTATTCATGTTAATAATTTGCTCTATTAATAATATAATCTAATTTATTTCTGTATTTTTAGTTATGTATTTTATTCTATATTTCATTCTTTAAATTAAAAAATATATATATATTTTCATTTTTATTTAATTATTTTATATATTTTTCTTGTATTGTTATGAAAAAATACCAACAGATGATAGCAGTGAGGAGGCCACCGAAAAGACTGAAATCCAGATCCGAGTCTCCAGATCTGAGATCTAAGATCGTGCCGACAAACAGCGGCGAGCTCAGGCCTTCTCTGGCACATGATCTCTTCCTCCGCCGTGCGCTACTACTGAAGAAGTAAGTCACGGAAGAGGTGACTGCCCATCCATATAGATAGAAAAGGTTTACCCCGACTGCGCTGTCGATTTCATCGTCGACGACCACTCGGTGGTGAGAGTACTGACGTTGATAAAGAAAGCGTCGGCGCGTGGGGTGCAGTCGGGCATCTCATGAAGCTAGTGTATCATAGTCTGAAATACGCCAACGGAGAGAAGAGTGTTGGCCATCAGATTCATAGAGACGAAGTTGGTGATGCATTGGAAGAGGAGTTTACAGTGCGTGAAGTTAAGGAGAGTTTGGTTAGGGGGAAGTTGAGGCAGAGGAGTCTCATATGTTTTCTAGGTCAATGTTGAATGGATGTTGAATTTTTTATTCTCTCTATCTCGACATATATATATATATATATATATATTCATATGCATGTGTTTTTGATGTGTTGGTTTGAGTTTCTGAATATGGTGTTGTTTGAAATATGTAGTTCAAGCTCTCCTCGAGGTGTCTTCCAGTAAGAAATTGACATATCACACTCGGTAAGGTTAGTGAAGAAGTCTCTGATTTGAAGCTACATGGACATATCAATGTTGTGTGTGTGTGTGTGTTTGTGTGTGTGTGTGTGTGTTTTGTTGATTGTTGTTGATGATTGTGGTTGTTGTTTTTATTGTTGTTGTTGTTGGTTATCTCTCTGATTGTGTGTGTGTTTGTCTATCCGTTGTGTTTTAGATAGAAAATGTTGTGTTTGATCTAAAATAGAACAGATAATATTGTGTTTGATACAAAAATTGAACAGACAGGTTTAAAAAAATGAACATATAGAAATATATGATCAAAATTTAAACAAATAAAATGAAAAAATTGAATAGATATGATCAAAATTTGAACAGATAGATTAAAAATAAGTTTAGTAAATTTAACAGATAGATTAAAATTTTAACTGATAGATTCAACAAAATTCACTAGATTGAGAGAGAAAAGAGAAGTGGAGAAAGAAAGTTTGAAAATAGTATGAATTTGATCAGATAGAAAAAAAAATAAATTATAAAAATTCAATAGATAGGTTAAAAAAATTCAATAAATAGACAAAAATTTGAACAAATATATATAAATTTGA